ACTTTTAGGGAACAAAGGACACAGCACAATTAAAAAGAGAAGGGTTTGCTCACAGTTCCATGCTTCCAACTTTACCAAGTACAGACTAAATGGCAGACTGTTGGGGAAAAGCATGGTGTTTGCACAGAGGCCCTACCAGGTCATCCAGTCAACTCCAATGTGAGAAGCTTAGCAGTGTCTTTTTTGGTAAATAAACCAACAAATTGTGAGTGCTTTGGATAAGTGGGTGGTGGAAGAAGGTTTAGTATAAACCTCCTGCATGAAGTTTTTAAAGAAAATATTTAATGTATTGACCCTCAGAATACCATCTCAATCAATTTATGCTGCCACAAGAAAAATGGTATCTAACCACCCAGTGACTGGCACACAGCTCAGAGTTACCCCTGGGCTTCCTGCAGTGGACACCATGGTGATGGTGTGGTGGGCAGCTTTGGAGTCAAGCAGAATTGTGTACAGCCCAGGCAATCTGACACTGTATGTGGATGCGAAAATTATTCTCAGCAGTTAAATGAGGACAGTAATTATGTCTTCATTATAGGGCTGCTGTGAGGATTAAAGGAAACTCTTGGCACAATGCAGGGAAACATAGTAAGCCCTTAGTAAATGTTACCTCCCAGTATCTTCTTTTATTATTTATTTTTTGGTACCAGGGATTGAACTCGGGTCCTTGCACTTGGAAGGCAGGCCACCAAACCGCTAAGCTAAATCCCTGGCCCCCCAGTATCTTCTAAGAAAATGATTCAAAAAAAAAAAGGAGTTTCCCTTTGTCTTCTCTTGGCCTAATCAGAAGTACTAGTTCTCCAATGGTTTTGCTGAGCTCTTCCTGACCCTAATCCAGAATTATAAACTTAAACTGGCCCTGTATATCACCACTTATTGCTTGTATTACACTTATATCATCATTGTTTATTCAATTCTTTGTCTTCCTAGATTTGTTTGAAGGAATTGGCCATAATGTCCAGCTTGCTTGGTGAGTCCCGAGTACTGAACACAGAGCACAATACATTGTTAGTGCTTAGCATGTATTTAGAGAATGACTAATGCAATGATGTTGATATTTTGTTCATTTATTAATCTAAGAAAAGTTGGTGAAAGGTGCATTTAAAACATGTAATTTTAGGGCCCGGGATTTAGCTCAGTGCCTCTACTGCCTGACTCGCAAGTGCAAGGTCCCGAGTTCAATCCCTGGTACCAAAATGAAACAAACAAAAAACTGTAATTTTATATAGTTAAAAATGCAAAACAAACAAAAATCCTCCAAGGAAATAAAGTGCAGCACTTGGTAAAGTGGAAAGAGTGAGGCAATTATTAAAGAGGTGGAGGCAGACAGAGTAGAGCTGCTTTTTTTTTTTTTTTGATACGGTCACTAAACTCAGGCCCTTGGGATTGCAAGGCAGGCTGTGGAACCACTGTGCTAAATCCCCAGCCCAGAGCTGCTTTTTCTTTGCAGGACTAGGACTCAAACCCAGGTCCTTGTATTTTAGGCAATTGCTCTACTGCTGAACTACAACCCCAGCTGTTGGAATAGAGATTTGATTTTGCTGAGGTGAGTGGAAGAATAACATTGGAGACTTCCAATTAAGCACCCAGAGTGTGTATTTGTTTATGTGTGTATGTTGTGTGGTTTTTTGGTGGGGATACTTTTTTTGGGGGGCACTATAGATTGAGCCTAGGAACTTTTCACTGAGCCACAACTCCCCATCCCTTTTATTGAGTCAGGGTCTCACTAAGTTGTTTAGAGTGGGGTCACATTTTCTGTGCTCCTGCCTCGGCCTCCCAGAATATTGGGATGCCAGCTGCCACCATCCCCAGACCCCAGTGGTAAAGAGAGGACTGGCTTGAATTACTATAAGAGAAAATAGAGAGTCCTGATCTTACTATATTCTAAGAGTAGACCCACAGCCCCTTGAATGAAAATTCTGTATCCTGGCATCCAAAAATAACACAAGTGTATACTCGGAATCTTTTTCTTATTCTTTCTCAAAAGTAACTGTAGTATTCAGGCAATTGCACTGGGGAAAGGAGTACATTCAAGACTTTTGGACTATTAAACACTAGACACTAACTCTGAGCCAGAGTGTCATTGCTGTGCATGACACTGCTTTGGGCTCTATGGCTGTGGACCATAGAATGGATCTTAGTGCTCATCATATCCTATGCTGTACTTTTTAGATGAAGAAACCGATCAGCAACAACATAGAGTGATTCTTTCTGTTAGGGCTGGGCCTAGAATTCGTATCCACTGCCTCTTTGACCCCGTGGGAAGAGACTCTAGTTCCTTTAAAAATACTCACTGCTACTTTAATAGCATGAGCACCTGTTCTTTCAGCTTCCACAGGGAACAGCTATTAATTTCTCCTTCATCAAAGCTGAACTGCTGATGTGTCTGAATCTCAGCATGGTTCTGACGGCGGCAAAGCCACGGAGGCTAAATGTTAGAGGAGGCATCACACTGCTAGAATCGGATAAATCGCCCCACCCAACCACAAGAAAAGCTCAAGTGACACTAGTCAGACAGTGGTGAAATCTGGTGTGTCCTTACTGACCTCGCCCCATCCGGACCTTTGGCCAAAGCCTCAGCCCACCAGCCCAGTTGTGGTGAGTGCTGTTCCAGCCTCTGAGTTCTTCTTCTCCAGGCCTGGGACCCACTGTGGAGAGACTTCCTCTGTGAAGTGGAAATCCATTATAACCCTTTGGGAAAGTTGGAGAACCAAACCTAGTTTAGTTTGCATCTGTTACCGTGACTGTTATTGTGCTGGCAGGGCCTGGCCAAACGTTTCCTCTAGCGCCACACCTCCCGGAGTACTGGGAAGCCGGGCTGCGGGGCGTCTCGGGGAGTACCGGTGGAGGAGAGGGGTCGCAGCACGCATGCGCGCCGGGGCGCCGGTCCTTTTAAGAGCGGAGCGCAGCGCTGAGCGGGCGGAGTCCCAGCTGGTCCAGCACCCGGTGAGGCGAGAGTGCGGGGCCGCCCGTAGCCCCGAGGACTGAAACTTCCGTGGGAGGCTCCTAGAGGTGTGCAACTTCCCAGGGCGCACCAGTAACGGAGAGAGGGACAACGCCTGGCGCCTTGGGACCGTGGGACCGCTTGCAGCCAGGGACTGGGGCTGCCCTCCTAGACTCAAGCCCAGCAGCGATCGCGGCCGCTGCCAGCCCGGTGGGCTCCCGGGACGCTCGCCTGCGCCTTGGACCTGCTCCGGCGACTTGCGCTGGAGGAGTGATCGTCGGCCCCGCGAAGCGGAACTTCTTCGCTGCACCCCGGGGGCTGCTGGTGAGCGCGGCCGGAGCCATGGGGACCGAGCTGGGAGCCGGGGTGGCTGAGCTCGGCCGGCGGCTGCACTTGCTGTCCGGAGCCCTGGGCGCTCGGCCTGTCTGCCGCGCTGCTTCTTGCCGTTGGAGAGCCAAATAAAGGAGGGGAGACGCGCCCCACTCGCGTGCGGGACCCTGAGGCTGAACCCCTCCTGCAGCGACCGGCAGCGGTCAGCCCGACGGTCTCTGGCTCTGGCCAGTGTCCCCTTGGGGATGCACGGGGTGGGTTCCACCGCTGGTGAAGACTCCGAGGATTGAGGGGCCGCAGCCCCGGAGGCCCTCTGACCTTGCCTACGGTCTCGAGAGAGGTCCATCTGAGACTGCTGTGCGAAGGCAAACTCTGCAGGGGACTGGTCCAAAAGGCAGAGGGAGGGGATGACTTAGGAGTCCCTGACCCTGCTGCCGGGCGGCTGCGACTCTGCCTTGCCAGAGGGAAGTGCCCCGTGCAGAAAGCGCCGCGCAAGGAACAGTCTACGGAGAGTGCCGGGTCTCCGAGATCACTCTGCATCTTCTGCAGACGCCTCGCCTGAGCCGAGAGTGGTGCCATGTGGGGGGCA